CCCTAGGGGGATCTAGGGAGAGACAGCGAGATCTAGGGAGATCTGGGGGGATCTAGGGAGAGACAGGTGGATCTAGGGAGATCTGGGGAGATCTAGGGAGAGACAGCGAGATCTAGGGAGATCTAGGGAGATCTAGGGAGAGACAGGGGGATCTAGGGAGATCAGGGGAGATAGGCCAGCGCGGATCGCGCGAGAGAGGAGGGCTGGGCGGGGAGATCACCCGAGATTACCCGAGATAGCGGCCCAGGCGAGAGTCCGGGCTGGGGGGGGGGGGGCAAGAAGGGGGGGGGCAAGAAGGGGGGGGCAGGGAGGGAGATCGCAGGGAGATCGCAGGGAGATCGCGCCTCGCTCAGCTCGAAGTGGCTGCGGCTGTGCCGCGTCTCTGCGCGGTCGGCCATGGCGCTCGCGATGCGGGCGGCGGAGCACGTTCCGAGCCTGCGCCGTGCAGTGCGCCGGCATGAGAGGGTGTGGCACAGCGAGGGCGGGAGCACCGCGTGAGTACAGCGGAGAAGAGGACGCGGTGAGACGGCTCCGTCTGCCGTGAGTACAGCGGAGAAGAGGACGCGGTGACGGCTCCGTCTGCCCGCTTCTTGCCCGCTTCTAGGGCCGCCGCTCATATGCACGCTCACGCCAACCACGGCCGCATGGCTCAGCACGGCCTCGACGACGACGTGGTTCCCAGCGTAGCTCGCCTCGGAGAGCGCCGTCGCGCCCTACGAAGTGCCAGCCGAGATGCCAGCCGAGATGCCGCCGAGATGCCGCCGAGATGCCGCCGAGGTGCCGCCGAGATGCCGCCGAGATCCTAGCCCCCGCGTGCAGCGGCCTGGGAGAGGCGTCTCTCGGCCGTCTCGCGGCTGGTGTTCGCGGCTATCTCGCGGCCGTCTCTCGGCTGGATCTCGGCCGTATCTCGTCCACCTCGGGCGGCTGGATAGACGCGAGCGGGACGCCGCTCTCTTCGTAGATCTGCTTGACGTCGGATGGCGCGCCTACCGCACCACCCACGGGACCTGAACCCACACTGGCCTCGGCACTCTGGAGGTGTGTGAGGCTAGATCTGCTTGACGACGGACGGCGCCTCCCAGCGGCGCCATGCTATAGGGCGAGGAGAAGCCACACTGGATTCGGTACTCTGGAGGTATGGGACTAGAGCGCGCCTCCCAGCGGCGCCATGCTGTAGGGCGAGGAGAAGCCACACTGGATTCGGCACTCCGGAGGTATGGGACTAGAGCGCGCCTCCCAGCGGCGCCATGCTATAGGGCGAGGAGAAGCCACACTGGATTCGGCACTCTGGAGGTATGGGACTAGAGCGCGCCTCCCAGCGGCGCCATGCTATAGGGCGAGGAGAAGCCCGACCGAGGCGCCGCGGAGAGCAGAAGCCTCGCAACCTCGCCGTAGTCGGAGGCGCGGCGCGTGGCAGAGCCGAGACAGACGCTCCTGAGAGAGAGAGAGAGGGGGGGGGGGGGGGGAAAAGGGTGGGCGGGCGGTGGGAGGAGGGTCTGGGGAATGATGTCTGCTCGCAGGCTGTCTGCCTGTCTGTCTTGGCTCTCTTGGCTTGGCCCTCTGGGGAGGATGAACAAGGGGAGAGGAGGGGGTGAGGGGGTGTGGGCCAAAGGGGGAGGGGGGGGCACCGAGACGGCTGGGGGGGCGTAAAGTATCCTCGGAGGGGGGGGTGCACCGCCAGGGGTGGGGGGGGGGGGGGAA